ATGTCTTTGTTTACCAATTGAAAATCATGTTTTACTTTTTGCATGAATTAAAGCAAAGGAGCTGTAGTAACATCACTGGATGGCATAAACGGCTCGTCGATTCAGACGTTACTGAGGGAGTAAAAACGACTCAAAGTAATCGTCTGAAATTCAGGCTGTTTAGGGCTGCCATGTTGGATAATTTAGGTAACTAGGTAACTAGTCAACCTAAACCTTATAGCCTGTGCAGCAGTCTTTTAAGTGTGTCCCTTCACATGGGTCACAAGTTGTTGACAACATTCACATCTGTTTTATGCATTTTTGCCCCAGTCTGCCCCATTTCTGTTACTAAATGTGTCAAGTTGTTGTAATCTTTTGCACTTCTTGTGTTTATAAGTCATTGTTTCAACATGGGAACAAAGAACAGCCACACAATAAAGGGATGCACATATAACTGAGCTAGTGATAGGTTTTGTATATTCTCAAAACTTTGACTTTAAATTCATAAGAAGGTGAAAGAGCTTCTCTTAGAGGGCTCCTCTTTCATTCAAACAAGGCTTAGCATCTTAAGTTTGAAGTCAAACACCTCTGAAATTGCATACTTGTAACATTAATACTGATTTTTTTAGCTTTGTTGTTTTAGAACATCTCAGACGAGAGGCTGCTGTGGCTTCCTCCAGACTAACCTACAAAATGATGGATACCCTTAACAATGGGTAAGCACATGCATATTTTCTCATCACAAAGGGATTACTTTCTACAGTTGTGTTGCTATTTCAGTGTGGGTACAATCAAACACAAAATTTGGTTTCATCAACTGAGTAGATGAAGTAAATTGTCCTTTGTGAGAAGATTCAAAAGCTGCCATTTTGATTCAAGGTATTTTAAGTTCTATGTAGGTTTGGTATTGTGTTTTGGAGTTATGCTATGTATAAGAACATGTCAACGTGAAAAAAAAGTATGCATTTTAATAATTTAAATATAAATAAAGCATTGATTTCGTGGAGAGTCATAGTTCCAATTTATACCATTCCAACCAAACCATGTCAATCTGCAGTCTCTTCTGGCACCAAATCACCAGAAAGCCACAATGTTCAATCTAAAACAAAAATTTAACTCTCAAATCAGCCCAAAATTCAGTATCTAGGTAGTCTTCTATTTCCAGCTTTCAAATGTAGTTTTTGTCTCTTAGTAGAATAATGCAAATAAATATTATAAAATATTATAAAAATGGTTACTTCTTTTTAAATCTGAAAGTAAAAGAGATTATTTGCAAAAGATAGAGACTATTGAGCTTGAAAACTGACATCCATATGTTTATATTTCTATAGTGTAGAGCAAGCCTATGTTAATCAAAGGAAGTTGGAGACAGAAGCCAAACAGTTACAAGCTCACGCAGGTGAAATTAATGCAGTACCACTTGAATATTGTAGATGTCAATACAGTCAACTCTCTCATAGCGACCACCTCCCGTAAACAACCACTTTAAAAAGAACGGTTTCTTGCTCATGCAAATACTGTTTTAAAAACTCTCTCATAAGCGACCAAAGTAAACTTCAATTTTCAATTTCTTAAATTTCAAAAACAACAGCAACCACTATTTCAACCAGAAATATAAGCACCTGCTTGATTTTGCTTGGCTAAACAGGTTCTTGTATTTTTGAGTATAAAGTTGCAAATTTCTGGCAGGATGTTCTCAATCCACAGATTGTTATTAGTGGGTGTTTACTGTATTCGATGTGAAACATTATTGCCAGTTGCTGTTTGCCTGAGTCTTAGCTTGTTAGGTAATAACTTTAATATGTATTAACGTTAATCAGTTCAGTTTGAGCTTATTTTCCTGATTTTTCCAACAGACCACCACCTCCTGTAAGCGACCACTTTGTCGTGCACCAAGGGTGGTCGCTTATGAGACGGTTGACTGTCTGAAGGGTTTAACCTAGATTCATATGACATAGATGTCTTCACATGTTTCAAAGCTTTTGGTGGCTTTTCCCATCCATCACCCATCATTAATTTAGAGGCAGCTGTCAAACTTGCTCTCAGGGTCAGGATAGAAGGAGAGGAGCATGGGAACGAGGTTGAGGCAGCTGTTTTTCACAGGCTACTAAAATTCAGATAGAAAGAGATTCAAATTCCCAGGAGATTAACAATCTAGATTATTTCTCTTCATGACTTTATGATAAATGCAAACTCTGACAAATGTATAATGTTTTGTTTTACCTTTTTGACTTTATTTTGCTATTTTTTATGTTCTCCTTAGTACGATTCTCTAAACAGACAGTGCAGTGGCTTCAGATGTTAGAAGCCTTCAACAAAGCTTTAAAGGTAGGAATAGTTTTAAATCATTTTTGCCATAAGTCAAAAGTACAGGTACCAATAATTACTTAAGCAATACATCACATTTCAGGAACTGGGCGATGTTGAGAACTGGTCAAGAGTAATAGAGGCAGATATGACAGCCATAGCTAGTGCCTTGGAATATGCTTATAAAGGTATAATGAACTGCAGTGTATTATAAACCAGTCTCTTCTGCAGTGTATTTAACAATTATTCCACGAGTGCATGTTGGATATGAGATGGTAGATAGCCAACAAGGCACGTATATGCCGAGTTGGCTATAATTGCCAACAAGCGCAAGTAGAATAATAATTATTGTTTTATTAAAAAGTCCCTCAAAATATCAAGAATTCTTCCCATTTTTATTTGTAAAAACAACCGATTTTCAGCTTGTTTTTAATTTTGAGCAGACGCTTAAAGTTACCACATTTGGAGAGCATGGTATAATGGTTCATATACCATGATGTCTAAGCCAATCAGAGCTCTAGAATTGCATTATCCAATGAATCAGTTTTTGAATAAAACCAATACGTGCTTGATACATTTCTTCCTATGAGTTTTCTTTACTTTTTCCCTGACTTCCTTTATGCATTCGTGATGTACATAACATTTACTAATACATCTCCCTCAAAAATCACCGAAATAGGTGACTGAAATTTGGCTTTTTTGTAGTTGTTCTTTGTATTGTGTTGTCATTGAAGTTATTTTGTTGTTTTCGTAGGCGATGGTCCTAAAGGATCATAGCAAAGGTGTGAAATCAAGTCAGTTTCAAGTTCGTCTTGGTTTTGTTAATAATAGAATATTATTAATACTATGTACAGAATTCTTTCAAATAAAACTAATCAGATGTTGAAAAAAACTAGACTAGACGTGTTAAAGTCTTTCATTTCCCATGGATCAAGAATTAACTCTTCACGAGGGTACTTTAAAATTTTATTCCTGGTTTGCCAGTAAATCCCTTATTACCGGCAAGAAAACTCAACCCAAAGAGCCCAAAGTACTTCGCGTTAGTGATAAAAATTCGCCGTGGAATAAGCCAGGCGTTTTGGTTGACATATGATCTGATAGAGGACCGGGGCGTTTTTAATTTAAGGCGTCCAGGGGGGCCGTTTAATAGATATAGGAGGCAATTAAAAGAGAAAGGTGTTTATTTTCATTTTTGCGATCTTTCTCGCGCCCACTACTTCCAAGCGCCTGCTACGCAGGCTATCTACAAGACTGACATGCTTTCGGGGAAAATATGATGAGAGGCCGATAGTGATCCCGATATGTCAAGATGATCCTCGTTCAAGGTCATTGTGTGGTCATCGTTAATCTATCCCTACTTTGAACTTTATAGTGAAGAAAAAGCCATTCGCAAACTCCTTTTAATTCGTGGTATTTTCATGTCAGTAACTGTCGTGAGGGGGCGTCTATAAGACTGGAGGCGTTTATTAGAGAGAGACGTCTAAAGCAAAATTAATACCTTAGAGGGGGCATTTATGAGACAAGAGGCGTTTATTTGGGACAGAGCGTCAAAAAGATCATTTACGATACACCTAATTGTAATAGTCGGTTTGTTCTACAATTGCATCTACCTATTCGTTTCCAATACTGTTATTATTATCAGTATTTTACTGCTTCAAATGTGCTGCTTTGGGAACCCCAACATGGTCACCCAAATCGTAAGTAAACCAAGAACTACATACATTGACACCATCAAGGCTAACACCGGACTGGACAACAATACCAAAGAGGTAAGAAATGCAATGCTCGATCAGGTCGTGTGGAAAGATTTTGTTAGGAAGGCTCGGGATGATTCCCGGCTTAAGTTAGTAAATAAGTGTAAACGATGTCATAGAAAGAAAGTAACAACGAAAAAATAAAAGAAATAGGAATTTACTAGGTAATTTACATAGTTTGACAATCCTGAAACACTTTTGCACGGTAGTAGGGTATGTTACTTCGACTTGATATCATTTGAGTAGAACGAAGGTAAATTGGCTACCGTAAACAAGACCCTTTGAGCTTGATCCTTTCAAGATAGAGGTACTGAGACGAAATACGTAGAAGTATTTTTTTAAAATTTAGCTTTTTAAATACCACTTTTATTTTACTCTTTTTCTCGGCTACCATATGTTTGTTGATCATAGAACAGCCTAAATCTTTTACTGAGACAGACACTGAATCCGGGTTAAACAACGCCCACTTTTGTGTTACCGAAAATTACTTAACTCTGCGTTATTGTTCAAGGTTTATCTCCTACTAAATTTATTGTCGAAGCCCCATTTTCTACTTAGCAGCTGCGGAGCTCACTTATTAATGGCGACAAGAAGTACGTAAGTTTTTTAGTTTCCGTTCATCGTTCTTTTTGTGGTTTTGGTTCTGGTTGCACCCACTGTAAACAAAATTGTTTGGTAGGGCGATGTTGTTTTTCAAAAGGTCGCCGATATCCCCTCGTTCAAGCTGAATTATCGTCTAATGTTTTCGGAATTTCAAAGTAACAACTGATTCTTCATACTGTGGTTTGGAGAGAGGGTAAGTGTATTACTTCAACACCTTCCGGGTATTTGAAGTTCAAGTTCAATTTAACAAATTTCTCGTAAAGGTTTAACTTGACAAAAAAAGTGTCAAGGAATAATTAAGCCCCAAACAGTAAGCTTGATAAAAAATCAGTGGCACGGAAGGTGTTGCGAGAGCAGATGAGCACTCAAATATATTGATAATATTGAACATGAGGGGGAGACGTGTTGCATGCTGGGCCGAAATTTCTCGTTGTTTTTAGTACAGACCACTAAAACCTTCGAGTCTTTCGCCGAGAAACGCGTGCCTGAGAGAAAAGCGATTACTGTCTTGCGATTGGTTGGGTCTGAAGTGTATTACTGTTGAATAAGCAGATATTATTTTCTGACAGAAATATAGTGGTTTTCTTGTTTTGCATACACTTCCCTACGCTAAGGTGGGAAAATAAAAATTTAACCAGGAAAGTTAAATATAAAGCCTTACCAGGTTTTTTTATTATCTCTGGGAAGAAAGATTCAAAGTAATAAAAATGTATAAAAACAGTACTTTGCAGTATTTGTAATATTGGGCTGGTGTGGTGAGTATGATCCTTTCCATTAAATGAAATTTTAAATTAAAGGACAGTTTTCAAAATCGCACGAAACAGTTCGCTCAAAAGGTAAATACATGGTATCTTTAAGACATAACTCAGTGAAGAGATTGTAAATTACAGGAAGTTTCGATGCAAACTGCTTATAAGCACATTAACGCTTCACTGTGCTGTAACAACATACACAGTTTACATACGTAGAACTTTCTCTCTCAATGTGCTCCTAAATTGTACACATTTTTATTATGGTCTTAATTTGTTAGTTTTTAAGGATGATTAGTTACTTATTTTCTAGGTTCTGTAATTGGCTTGGTAAAAACTGTCCTTGCAAATGTGTTCATTCCACTTTTCATTTTTCTTTACTCCGATTTATTCCCAATGACTTCACTTCGGTTGCTCACTTGCCTCCATTTTTTTCTGTTTTGGAGATCTACTTTGTGCCCTTAACTCCGATTCATCAATGAAAACTTAACAGAAAACAAGATGAAAAGAATAAGCTTGACTAAACAAGAAGTTTGCTAAGTGCCAGTGAATTAAGTTGACACTTACTGATAGTTAATCAGCATGCTAGTTATTTGGTGACTTGACTTGTATTGTTTCTTAAATTTGCATATCAATACGTCTCATATAGATTTTACTTTACATTCGGAAATGATGGCTTGCAAATAGGGAACGCTATTAAAACCTTAAAATTACTTTATGTCCATTAACGTCAAACTAGCTTTTAAGCTTTACTTGAAAATAAATACACCGACCAGCAGAAGAATGACAAACAAAGTAATTATGGGTTCTTTACAATAGATTTTATTGATTTTGTCAGCTGTTAAATACAGAGTTGTGAACTTGTGAAGGTACAATGTTGAAACCGGATAGCAGTTGGCACTTGTGAACATTTTTTCATCCCCAAGTTAGTGACTCGTGGTTATGGTTCATGGTCAGAAACATTACCGAAGATAAAATTAGAAGATAACTGACCAGAATCCGGGAAGTGAAGTTAAAGGTAACTTTTAAGAAAGGTAGGCTTAAGTACTCTTCCTGTATCAAAATGACACAGACATAAAGAACTTACACGATCCACTTCTACATACCGGCGTATCTCTAGTTTCAGGCCATGTTTATAGTACTATTCCTTTTGGTCCATGAACGTCCATCATACCTAGATCATTTGAGAGACAATCTGGACGTGGCCTGCCAGAGCATCCTGTTTTTTCGTCTCTTAAGTTTCTAGTTTCACCCGCAGCTAGAAACTAGAGCCGAAAAAAACGGATGCTATCGCAGGCTAATCTGGACACCGCCAACTGTGAAACAGGTTTTTTTAATAAAAGATATCCACATTAAGTGAAATGTGGTCTTTCCGTTTAGCCTGCGAGAGCAGGACTTCTTTTTCGGCTTTAGTTTCTACTTAATGAGTGTAGTGCAGTAAGGCGAGTTGAACAAATCAACAAACATCCATTGTTCAATTCTTTCATCTTCTTAGACTTGTACGTAAGGGATGTTTTCATAAAGTATTATACTTAAGGAGCTCTATTTACCATCCAAACAATTAGGTCCGTTTTCTGTTAGACATCCGAACAATCTTTAAATGGACTGTTGAGCTGCAAACCGGCCGGACACTGTCGAATCGTGCCGCTTCAGTGTGCCTTTCTGTCTAAAAGCAAAGGGTGTGTTAGTTTGAAACAAGATAATAATTAAAATTCTGAAAAGGAAAAAAAGCCGGCTTCCTGCTTTATAATTTGATTGCGGCATCTTTGTTCAGATTAACTGATCTGGCATGATTATCTCTTGCCACGATTGATTTTTTCCGTGAAATCCCTTGTAATGCACTATGTAAATACACTTTTATACAGAGATGTCAGTAATTAGTGTTCCTTTCAAGAACGACATCATCAGAATAGTTATTACACCGTAGTTAACACTGCATCACCTTGTGGTACTGCAGGCGAATGAACGGTTTTAACGTAAATGTTAATATGAAAGTTTCCTCGTTTAACATGTTAAAACAATGAAAATCTAAACCATATCAAGAGGAAGTTTGAGTTGATGACGTGGCCGTAAATAGCCGATCAGCGTAATCTTCTTAACCAGGGGAG